ATCTCTACCATCAACAATAATATAACTTCAAACAAGCATAACAATCCCCTGCAAGCAGAGGGGGTCAATGTATAATGAACATGATGATTTAATGCATTCGATGAAGTTCAAAGTACATGAAGTTTGCTCACAGTCAATACCATTCAACTCTAAACACTACTTGTTGGCGAACAAAGATGAAATAGCCGATGCGCAAAGAATGTTAGCATACCTATAGTTTGCGCTAATCAACATGCAAGAAAATGTACTAATCCCTATGAACACTAAAGGTGGATACACAATGAAAATAACAATATGCCAACCAACATGCATAAAGAGATTAGTGTTGAATATAGTGCATCTGATAGTCAATGTTAACTTGCAAATGAATACATTAACTCACCTTCAAACAATAATGCTCCCTACAAACATAAACAAGTAGCGATGATAGATGTGCTGCAAGTATGGTAGATCCCTTGTGAATAAAGATACACCCACAATATACTATTTACAGGAGATTACAACAAACCTGTAATGAATACAAACTTCTACCAATCACTATAGGATATTCTTCGTACACGTAAATGTTTTCCTAAAAGCTAAGCTGATGATTTATGAATGCCCCGTAATAGCATATAGGTAGATTCAACAAAACATGCATGACATAATAGCTCACCTGCAAGAAGCAAAGGGATGTAGTGCAGCACTACAACCCTCCTACCAGAAAAATATACATTGAGTGTAGTCCACCTCCACAATGGATGACTTTTAAACATCTGCTAATGACACACGACCAACAAACACATCCAACAAAGCTTGTAATGCACAATAGCTCTCCTACAAGAAATAATAGGTGACTCGTAGCGCAGCGCTATGACCCACCTATAGGACACGTTGGTTTATTCGTGATGAATGCAAGTATCTACATGCAATGCTCTAGGATACCTAATGCTGGAGCGCGAACAATGTTAAACAAAACTTACAATGCATCATAACTTGCTCGCAAGAGGCAGCATGCAACCCGTAATGCAACACTATAATTCACTTTTATGCAGAAGCATGAAATATATAGTAAAGGTTGTAGATCACTGGTAAACTGAGAAAATAAATTTGTGGTGCCATGCTATTACACTAGATAAATTAGTCTACTTACAAGCGAAAGGTAGGAGGCTCTTGAGACACTGCATAGCTCATTTGTAGGCTAAAGTATATTCTCGCAAGCTGAATACTAAAGAAAATGACAGCTTATAGAAGATGAAATGAGCAATACCACATTAATGAAGCATGATAAATAAGGCCTACAATGATGTTAAATAATGCCATTGAATCTGAAACACTCAATACAAATAAACAGAAGACATTTGTTGATTCCAAGATGAAACCTTGCACACTTGTTAGTGATAGTCATTTGCATAGCTGGCTATAATTGAATATTGTAAGAACACCCCCTTCATGCATCAAGATATGTACCAACAAATTTATATCATGTATGCATTTGTAATATGCAAGATGTATCATGCAAATACGCCACCCAACATGTAAAATCTTCCACGTTGTGACAATACATTGCATTAACATGCAAAATATATTATGCATATACACACTCCAATGTACAAAATGCACTATGCAAGCATATGATACAAGCATATAATAACTACATGTAGTTAAGAATGAGTAAACATATTGCAAGCATCCTCACCTAATATATGAATGTACCATATACATACACATTATTGTATATAAGATACACGTTGCAACATGCAACATGCATCGTGGAAAGACATCATTTATGATGTAAATACATATGCCAACACACAGATAGATACAAGAGTGTATATGCATAATAGCAGATGTGTTTCATACATCCACTACATTGCATATAAATAGCTTCCACATAGATATATCATGTTAAATGCATTCAACAACATATACCCGCATGGGCCATAGCGAGTGTGATATATGTACATACATGTCACATCTGAGGATACTACACGGGTCAAGAAAAGAACTTAAGTTTAAGCCTAATCATCTATCAGTAGAGAGATAAAGTCTACATTGCTTGAATCATCAAACAAATACATAGTTGTAGTGTCGACTGGAGCATTTATTTTATACGTTCATATTAGGAAATCATGGTCTATTATGAGAAAGATTCATCACCAAATATGTAAAATCTACATTGACCCAATCCTCTATGAACAAGTAAAATGGGTCGACAAAGTTTGACCAATAAAGAAAGATAATCCACAATAACCTTGATGATGGTCTTATTGATAGAAAATCTCAATCAAAGGGGACCCAAAATATTCAAAATGGATCCAAATTCTTATAAAATATATTCAATTAACTTTAACATATTTGAGCATAAAATTTTATGTACTTATTTTACACTAATTTGCTTTTAAATGTGTTTAGTAGTTTTTTTTATTCAAATTTGCATAGCTTAACATTATACTGTCCGAGAGGGGAAACTAAGGTTCTAATTTCGAATTAGAAAGAGAAACTATAATTTACTTTTCTAATACAATACAACATAGGGAATATGCAATCCATCTTGAGAATATAATATTCTTCTAATGCTCTAATTAGAAAATAAATTATAAAATTTAATTTCATAATCAAATGCATAAAAGATATTCGATTCACCACAAAGGAAAATAGAATATCTAATCATATTTTGATTATTAGATTAAATATAATATTTTAAGAAAAGGTCCATGTTCACAGATTTTCCTCATATCTTAGAAAGAAACTAAGATATGGTTCATTTTATTCTGGGTTCTAGACTCCCTATAGAGGAAAGTCTCTATAATTAATTACATCTCCTAAGAGATCACTCTCGATTAAAGTAAAGGCTAAAGATTTTTTAAATTCATATAAATTTAAAGAGATAATTGGGCCATTTTTTATTTAAGTGTACAAGCTTTAGATTGTAAATTATGGAGTAAGATTCGGAATTCATATTTGAATACAATAGGCAAAGATGTGCAGGGAGATAGGTGTATACAATCTGGACTTATACTTACCTAGAGTGAGCTTCCAGCTAATAATCTTAAACAGAACAATCACCATATGTATGCAGGATTTGGTAAGTTCTGCCCTAAGAATTAAGAGATTATTATTCCGAGAATTTAAATTTAATGTTCTATAACATGCTTTCAAAAAATAAGAACTACTTATATGATGGAAATGATGCATGAACAACAATATATAAAAGAGCTTATTTTATTGATTTATGAATTTTTAAAAATATAACTCGGGGGTATGCTAAAAAGAAAGGTGGTCAAGCTTCACCAACATCAAACTTGGATTCTAATCCTACCAAACACACACACACACACACACACACACACACAAATATATATATATATATAATCAAATACATCTTCTTATGATCTTCGAGTTTCAAGTTTCCTATTAAATTTTAGTAGAGAATATCCTCTAAGGGAGAGGATATTATTTTTTGGAGCCCCACTTATCTGTATAAGCAACTATATTTGGCCCTTTTATAACTCATGTCTTTGTACAACTCGATTTACATACAAAAATTTAAAACATTTACATTTCTTTCTTATATACATTAACCCTATGTATATTTTATTTTACATAAATGTAAAGAGCAAAATGTAAAAATGCAGATATGATGGTGCAATGTGAGAAATTATATATACATAAATGAAAAAGTAAGTAAATTGCATGGTCCTGAATTCGTTCACTCTGCTCTCTAGTGCACCAAAAAAAGAAGTAAGTATGACATCTAGATTTGCAGAAAGTAAGCCAACACACAAAGGTACCCTCTAGGCAAAGGTGCCCTCAATCAAACCAAACCAATCCACCAGCCTAGCCTAGGCTAAAATTGATTGTCTTAGCAAACCACCTAAGAGATAGAGAAGAGTTTAAGATTTTTGCTCATATCCAACCCTTTCCAATTCATAAACTAAAAATATATGAAGATTCAAAGTACTTTATTCCAAAAGAGCCAAAGCTATCAAACTCTTTTGAATCCAATGCGTCAAATGTAAAAGCTACAAAGCGGCCCAAACAAGAATGTGAGAAGAAGTAGGTGAGAAGAAAAAAGGCAGTACTAACTCTTCCCATAGCAATCACCATGTCTAAACCATGCAAAGTTATGCCCCACATGGGAGTGACATTGAAGAAGATGAAATCATCCCTTCCAAATCTAAGAAGACCACCTGCTAGTCTTTAGTTAAACGGAAGAAGAAGAAGGCAGAATGCTAAGATTCTTATTATGACTACAGGTCTACTTATATGAGCAAGGTGCGGTGTGTCTTCTCAAGAAAAATAAGTAGCTTGTCAATCTCAGAGAGAAAATTCGTGGTCATGCCTCTCCCTCTATGACACTTCAAAAAAATTATCCCTCATGTGGGGCATAATGTCGAGGAGCGTAAGACGTTTTACCACCTCCTCTAAGTAAAAACATTAAACCAGGGAGATTATTTTATAAATTTCGAGAACATTAAGAAGAGGATTTTGACTGGCTTATCTAGCTTATTGATTCTAGAGAGATAATTCCTATGATGATGCCTAAGTATTATCCCAAAAAAGTTCAAAGAATGAAGTAGAGACAAGGAGTTCATGTTAATATAACTAAATGATGAACTCATATCTTTTTAAAGTTATGATATTAGAAAAGTCCTCTCATATCATGAAAGAGTGATACCCTTATAAGAAGAGGCCTCAGATTTAGTGAATGAAGTACCCCTAAAAGGAGATTTACTGTGCAATCACATATGGGAAAGTTGAATCCAATGATTACAATGAGGAAGAGATCTATGAAGTTCATATGGTAGATGATCAACCCATAGAAGCTAAGCCTGCACCAGAAGAGCTTGCAGATGGTGGACAGGTTGCTACGATGGTGATCAAATTTTATCATATAGAAAAATAATTATATGAATGATGTTCTATAATAAAGGAGAACCAAGTGTCTTTTTCAGTCTTTTAGTACCATACTAAATTCTATATAAAACAAAAAAATGTCTTTATATGAATATCTCGTGGATTATACAGACCGCCAACATTATTGGAAACAATGTGAGGAAAGATACACAGATCAGAGACCCGTCGTTTTTTGTCAAGTTTTTTTTATTACAGAGCTTCCATTTACATACCAAGGATCTTTCCAGTGCAGCAACATAGACTTCCAGTCACAGTAATTACCTTTACAAATCCTTAATCTTGGATCAGTAACATTCCTCCTCCAATGTCCATCAGAGTAATTGGCCTTCTCTGCTCGTCTTCTATCCCATTCCAAACCTGCTTTCATATGAGTACTTAGAAGACAGAATTTGTGCAACTTTCTTGGCATCAAATCATGAACCTTCCACCACCTTTTATGAGCAACATCACTTGCGAACTCTTGCATAAAATCGACATTCCAGTTACAGTCATAGTCTCGAAAGCACCTCCATGGCTTCAATCCTAAGTAATGAAGCGAATATAGAACAGGAGGCTCAGCGCCAAACAACTGAGTCTTCATAGCTTTCTTCTTCTCAGCATCACCAATCCAAAAATGCTTCAGGAAATTCATGTTCCTAGGAATTCTATGCCACCATGTAAAAATCTCATTCAAATATCCCTGATCACCACCATTATATGATTTTATTTCATTAATGTTCTCCATTAACAACTTGAAAGTGCAGAGTGAAGGCTCAATAACCATAACGCCTGAGTTAAACAAAGTTCCATTGTTTCCTGACGCGCTGATCTCGGGCATTGTGAAGAGGAAATCAATGTTTCTTAGAATAAGAAGGTCGGCATCGATGAAGATGATTTTGTCATATTCAGTGAGCTGCCATAACCGGAATTTGCTGTAATTCCATTCATTGTAAGCATCTTTCTCAGCTTTTGGGTTTCTTATCCTTTTGATTTTTTTTATCTTCCAACCTGCTTCTTCAAGACCATTTTTGTAATGGTTACTGATTGTTTCATCGACGAGAATTACAAGATCTCTGGTTGAACCACTAAAACGTATGCTTTGAGCTGCGGCAATAGCACCACACACATATACATCTACTGAGTGGAGAATGGTAGCATATGCTTCTCTCCTGCCATTGTTTGATGATGGCCTCACTGTTAGAATTATCAGAATAATGGAGATGAGTATCTCAGAGAAATATTCGGGAAAATGGTTCTTAAAGCTGACTACTTTTCTTTGCTTTAATTTGAAATAAAACTTTTTCTGCATTACATCTATAATTTGATCACTTAACGAGAAGAAAATATCAAACATGCAAAGATTGAAAGCTCACCTGTCTGTTTAAATGGAAGTGATAGTTCACATGACCCAATCGGAAGCTTGAGTTTCTCTGTTAAAACCTTCAAGTCAGGCTTGTATAACCAAGCTTGCCCCTTTCTTGTAACAAGATGCCTGCATGAAAAGAGGTTTGGTATTGGAAGGCAGTCTGTGACAATAAGAATATGGACTGGTTCATCCCTTTCCTTTGAATCTGAAGCAAGTTTTGCCGTCGAAATCTGCAAATGCAATCGCGCTATATCCCTTGTCCAGTTTCCAGTTTTATTACAGGGAAGCTTGACAGCAACTAGGCCAAATTTTATTTCTTTTGGGACTGCAGGATTGGGAAGATTTTTGCATGAAGGAACTTGTGATTCTTCTTCCTCATCAATCCATTCAGGATAGAGGTCATCCCAAGTAAGACTTCTTTCAGCATTTTCAAGTTGAACATTGGAAATTTTAGCACTTGGCAATAGCTTTTGCCAATGGTTGATCTCAGGGCCGTTAAAGTTTAGCAATCCTATCTTCAGATTTTCTTTTCCATCAATTTTTGTTATGATTTGCTGTATTTGGGACCATTTAATATCCAAGTTTGATACATATCTTGGATCTGGAATTGCCTCATTCCACATCCATCCAACACTTGAAAAACTTGACCTGTATTTGTTGAATTTAATGTTCAAGAACTTGTTCTTTTCTGAAGAAAATTTACATTGAAAAATGGAAACATGAATTTTCTTTATTTATTTTTCTTCACTACTGAAAAGAAAGGAACCTTCAACGATGCAAAGATCAAAGAGAATTGGTATTGATGTGAAAGCATGTACCGAATAAGAGGGCTGGAAGATTTTGTATAATGATTCTGTATTGGAGAGTGAAGAACTTTAAGTAAGGTCCCGAACACAGCCAGCACAATGAAATACTTCAACCATCGAAGCTTGCTTCCTGCATTCCTTTCTTGATTTAGATTGACCAGCTTTGCAGTTTCTTTGAAGCTGCTGAATTTGGGGGAAGTTCTATGGCTCGCATCAGAACTGAATAAATATAATAAAAACATGATTAAATTGTACTTAAAGCTCAGGAAAACTACTAAGTCCTGCTATTAATTAGAAGTACATGTAAAAAATAGATCTCTAAAACTTTAAGCTGTTTGCCTTATTGGTTATTCATTTAGTAAAAGTGTCATATGCTTCATATGAACCCCACATAATTTCTTCCATTTTAATAAAAGGTCAGGTTGAATCTTAGTCAGAGATGTGGATATTCAGGAGAGAGATCTATTTGAAAGTAGTTGATTAAGTGTTTTTTCTCCATTGGGAAGGTGGGTATTGACTATTTAGTTTTAGTTTGCTTGAGCCATGCTTTTGTTTAGTTCTTGAATTTTATGGAAGTCTTTTGGGCCGCAATCTTTGTCAGCTACCAAAATAACTAAAATTTTAAAGTAAATATTAGGAGAGGCTTTTTTTTTTCCTTTCACACAACATGCGCTTGCTTTATGTTTGACTTATCAATCCATAAAACCAATAAGAGATGATCAAACTTAGGTTTCATTTGGGACAACTTTCTTAATGCTTTCTAAAGCAACTTTTTAGTTAAAAAATTTCTTGAATTTGAAATTTTTATGCTAGAAAGCTGGTTTAGAAAGCAGTGAAAAATATGTCCTAAATGAAGCCTTAATGTTTGTGAGGCTTCTGGTTTGCCCATGTTTTTCTAAGTCAAACCACAATAATAGAAAAACATAATAGCCCAATAGTCGAAAAGCTAGCTTTTTGGGCTAGTAAATTTGTTTCCTTTCGAAAGCACCCATGGATCTTCAAAATGGTGTGATTACAGTTCAATATTTCAAGAAACATAATATCAAAATTCTCTTCATTGACTTACTATAAATAAATTGGTATAAGTTATAAACCAATCAGTGAAGCTCCTTATAGCCTATCTCTTCCACCCTTGGAATCTAATTGCTATGCCAGTGTGACTTCACTCACTAAATTTGATTTGAAATTGAGTTCGTGCATTGGGTGTCTTGAAAATTACACATCATATTTATGTAAGTATAATTGATTGTGAAATTCTAATATGAGTCCCATATTTTGAATCTAAGGATTTTGCTCTACGACAATCATACTAAAAATACCCAATTATAAATAGCATCAAGTTAGTTGAGCTATACAATTAGATGAACCATAGTACAATATATTTTTCAAATTCTTGTAATATTTCTCTTTCTAGAATCGTTAGTTGTTGAATTTGTCAATTATTTTTTTCAATGTGCTCCAAACTTAGTGTAATATTTTATAGATATATTTCTTCATTTTATAAACAATTAATTATATCATGTATGCTTCTGTTAACTTAAAATCATAAATGAAACATGTTGTTATTTATAAGTTTTCCCCTCACTATATAATATATTTTTTATCTCATTTCAAGCTAATAGTTGGAGAGAGAAGGTAGGAAAGGGAGAGAGAGAGAGAGAGAGATAAGTATAGATTCAAAGCCGTTGAAGATTGATACAAGATAAATAATATTTTAATATGGCATGATGACTAAGATTGTGAGAAGTGCATAACATGTTTGAATGAGATATCCATATGAATGCTACATCATTTTTCATAAGTGACTTTATATATAAATATTTATGGCTCTAACTGATTAGTTTCCATATTACTCCTAATTTTATACAATTATATTACTCTAAACCCCCTATTTTTTCTCAAATATATTATTAAGAATCATATTCATGGGGGGGGGCAGGGGGGGCACGTGCCCCCCTTGCAGTCGAACTGAATGGGGAGATTTTAATCCAAAATTAAGTTGGTAACTTCAAAAATTAATTCGGAGACCATATGAATTCCGATTTCAGTAAACTTACAGTCGAACTGAACGTCTCAAAAACACAAACCTAACGACACCAAATTCAACTCAATCCGAACCCAAATGACTCCAAATAGTTTGGATGTAAAAAATTGAAGAAAAATAATAATATAATAAAAAAAAATTTAAGCCCCCCCTAGAGATATTTTCTGGCTCCGCCACTGATCATATTCATTGTATTTTTATAAACAATGAAAGTGTCACATATTATGTGATATGCTCTAAGTTTTAAATCATATCGATAAGATTATGAAAGAAAAAATCATAATAGAGACATAAATTCTCAAGTCTTGCAAAAGGGTAAGTTAACAAAATTATCTTAATTATGTAGGGAGTTGAAGGTCATACTTGGGAGTTACAATAAAAGGGTATCATGCATGAAATATGGTAGAGTGTGTACTAATTGACAAGCATATGATTTAAGTATTACTCTAGCTAACAAGAGCACTCTAATAAGCAATTGGATGGTAATTATGGTTTAATCTATAGAGTATAGGTTCACTTTATTATTTCTTGTACATGACATACATTGTCTTTATGATATGAATGTTTTATTATAGAACATTTTTCCTTATGTTATGTATATTGAATAAAACATTTAAATAAGTGATGCATACTAATCTAAAATATACTATATGATGTGTGATAAAGTTATATCTTAATTGCAAGGATGCTCTCATATGAATAATTAATGGTATATTTACATATTTCTAGACAAATTATACATTTTAGTGATTCCATAACTCCTACAAGCTTAATGAACAATTTGAAATTATTTGATATGTTTTAAGCATCATTTACATGACTTGAATTTAAAATTCATATTTTATTATTATGTTTTTATTATAAAAATTTGATTGTGATATAATATATACTCTATCAAAAGATCACTGATTAAATACTCAAGCATATGTGGTCTCATATAAGTATTTATGGTTATGTCTATACCCAATATATCATTTTGTTTTTTGACATGGCACGTAGATGAATTAGTTCGACACAATGTTTAGTTGTTTGACTTATAATTGAAATTTTACTTGATTCTAACATTTACATTATATGTGATTTGCATTTATATTTATGAATAGCTTACTATCCATGTTATGATTTAGTTCTATGATATAGTTTTTTTAATAAATATTATAATTTACCATTATGAGTTATATGTAAATGACATAAAACTCATGTATGTAGCATCGGGTATGTTTGAGTATGCAGGAACTTGATTCCACATGCATGGTATATAACTTCATGGATTTTTTTTTTTTCATGTATTAAATCCTCTTAAAAGTTTCACATAACCTATTGAGCTTTTTACTCACCCAATTCTACGTATGTGTGTTTAGTTTCTAGTAAGGATAATAGGCCTACGAAATAATGATCTGACTTTGTATTTGTTAAAGCATAACGATGTGTATGGACTTTATGATTTATATGTCAAGTGATGCAATCTATATTTGAGAAATTATATAATTACCCTTTGTCTTATAATTATGCATACTTTTTCTTTAATAGAATTATTGTATATTTAATGTATATAATTTTGAGTGCATGGTACTATTAACCTATATAATGTCTAAATTGTCTTTTGGATTATTGATAATAAAATTTTGTAAATGAAAGCTTATATTATCTTATTTGTTATTTGTATTGTATTTGAATATAGTATAAGATCACATAATAGTTAAGTAAGATGATTCCTAATATAGTGGATACCAATGAAAGTTGATTCTAGTGGATTAAATTTGATAAGAATATGAAATACCAGGGAATGGGTAGAGTTATGGGAGGGAATGCTAGTACACATCAAGTGAGTTGAAGAAGGGAGAGAATAAAAGGATCAAGAATTAAGGGACTCTATTTCTTACAAGAAAATACATCTATTAAATTAGCACTTAATAATTGGTTCATGTTTTTTGGTTCCTATAAGTTGGAAACAAAGTAATAATTTTCATTACAAGGTTGCAACAACGATAAAGTATTATTAGATAATCTGAATAGAGTGATGGTATGGAGTAATGTTCGTAGGAAAGTGGCTCTCATTTTATAAAATAGTAGGTTTATCATTTAGTTTATATGTTGTTGGATAAGTAACTTCTTTAATAATGATTCATGTTGTATTGCATGTGATTTCATTATTTTATTACAAAAAGTGGATGTTTAAGAATTATTTAATAAGTTTATTTTTATTACTTTAATATATGATAGGTTTCAGTTGAATTTGAGTTAAGAGAAAATGTAATTTATTATATGTATATAAATAAATACAAGATCCAAATGAATATATATGATATGAAAGGTTTGTTGTAATTAGATAGTTTGTAGAAGAATTTTGAAAATACTGCTTTTGCCATTATTTATCATTTTAAATGGTATATAATTGATAGTTAGAATTATGGTAATTTTCATAAATAAATAACTGAATATATGTTTCAAGATTGATAGTTGAATTGACAAACAAAACAACAGCATGATCAATTTAACATTATGCTTAAGAAGTAACATGAATAAGGTAATAGTATAATTGAAGCATATTAATTGTGGTTAATAATTTCTTTTCATTAGGATTAAATATTTTGATTCAATTGAATATCATATGGGTAATATATAAGTGCAATATAAAATAAATTAAAATTTTAGAATAGTATTAATGAATTAAAAGATTATAATTATTGGCAAGTTACATTGACTATTTATTTCACACACACACACACACACACACACACACACACACACACACACACACACACACACACACACACACACACACACACACACACACACACACACACACACACACACACACACACACACACACACACACACACACACACACACACACACACACACACACACACACACACACACACACACACACACATATATATATATATATATATATATATAATGTATTTTTATGCATACATTATCACTATAATTGGAAAAATTTTGGGCTTATAGCTCTCTTAGATATCTATAGATATGTATATGATGTTAATTTAAGTAATGACATGATATAAGTGTGCTCATCACATACAAAGAGTTGGATTCAATGCATGAGGAGACTAAGAATGTTGCAATGGAATGAAATAGAGTGATATTGGATCAAAATAATAAATAATGAAATAGTCCTAATTGTATTGATAAAAAAATTTACTTT